CCCCGCGCCTCGCTCAGCCAGTGAGCGGGAACCGGTCTGTATGTGGTATCCGAACCCTCGGCGGGAGCGCCTCCGCACTTCCCAAGCGGCGCACTAGCGCAGTGCGCCACCGGGCCGGCCCAATCCATGCTCTTCTTAATGTGATTTTGCAGCTACTCCCATCAAGAGTCTGTTTCCCCATCCCTTCAGGCTAGGCTGGGCTCATGACTTCATTGGACTAAAAAATATGGTAGAGTGATACGTACCAGTTCCAAGCCCAGGTCTCCAGAGGCCTTGTATGCTTCCATACTCTCTTTTGGATCTGTGTTACTACCACAAAGCCTGGGCTAGCCTACTGAAAGATCCGAGACCATGTGGAGCAGAGCTAAGTCATCCTAGCCAAGGCTGTCCTAGATCAGCTACCAGCCAGCAGACCTCCAGACACATGAGTGAGCTCCAGCCAATACCCAAAAGGCTGCCAAATCAAGTCTGCCAAGATTATCAGAAGTGTTCGGCTAGTCTGCCGACTTGTTAGCAAAAAGAAATGTTTATTACGTGCCACAGAGGTATTGTGGTTGTTTAATACACAGTATAATTGCAGTAACAGATAACTGACCCAGAGGATGATGATATACTCTTCAACTCATTAACACTGAATTGCTACCAAGGCCATTTATCAGAAGTCCACTGCAAACAGTTTCTATCTTTTTGAATATTAAGAGTAGTCATGTTTGGGAAGTATGATGATAGCAGATATAGACAGAATACATTTTTTTCATGATCCAGTTATGCTGAGCGATTACAGTTAAGATCTAAACTTGAAAAAATTTTTTCTAAAGTAAGTCATAACATCTAGTAATTAAAAAATTTTTTTTTTCTAAATTATTATGTACCCCAATATTTTTTGGTGGTGGTTGGCTGATGATGTTTTATAAGAAGTCGAATTTAGGACCAATCCCCCCGCCCTACCAAAAAAAAAAAAAAACCCCACAAAAAATCCCAGCAGTTTCCCAGAGTTGTAAAGATTATTTTCTGTTACAGACTCTAAGAAATGAAGTGAATATAGAACACATGTTGTCAGAACTAGGGGATTTTGTTTTTTAGATAGGGGAGGGATTCATGACATGATTGTAGTATTCATGAGAAAGGCGGTATAGCTTTTGACACACACCTGACTTGAAAACCCAGATGCTGGAGGAAAAGAGGCTGAGGATGTAGATACACATATGAAGATGTCTCACCCCAACCCCTTCCAAATTCTCAGAGGCCTGGCAACCCCATTAGTCACTTTCTCTCTTGCCTATACCTTCAGCATTATCCCACAATTAAAGACAGTTGAAGTCTCCTCTAATCTAAAATGTCACCCCTAGACCCCACATCTGCCCTACACTGAGGAAGATTTCCTCTTCCACCCCTGCACTCTATTGTTTGACATTTCTACCTTTATTGTTCCCACTGTTCCCTCTCCCTAGACTACCCTTTCTTTCTCCTCTTCGGATAATTTCTCCTTATCCTTCAAAACTCAACCCCCCCTGCCCAGGTTCGGTCACAAACCACACCTTTACCATGGCATCATGTTGATAATGATGATAGCTCCCAGTTACTGAATGCTTACTATGTGCCAGGCACTGTTCTAAGCTCCTTACACATACATGTTCATGTAATGATCACAACTATCTGATGAGATTAAGTATTGTTATTATCCCCATTTCATACACAAGGAAAATGGGGCACAGCATGTTAAGTGGGAGAGATGGAACTCAATCTCAGACAAGCAGGCTCCAAGTCCAAACTCTTAAACACCACACTTTTTTTTTTTTCCCCTTTTTGTCTTTTTTCGTGACCGGCAACGGATTGCAACCCTCAGTGTCGTGCCCGTACCGGACCGGGACCGGCAACGGGATCGCAACCTTCGGTGATGCGCCCGCACCTCGCTCAGCCAGTGAGCGGCCGGTCTGTATGTGGGATCCGAACCCTCGGCGAGAGGGCCGCCACGCTCCCAAGCAGTGCACTGTAGCATGCGCCACCAGGCCAGCCCTTAAACACCACACTTTTACTACATACTCGTGCTCTGTCATCTCTTCCTTTCTCAGGATCGCAACCCTCAGTGTCGTGCCCGTACCGGACCGGGACCGGCAACGGGATCGCAACCTTCGGTGATGCGCCCGCACCTCGCTCAGCCAGTGAGCGGCCGGTCTGTATGTGGGATCCGAACCCTCGGCGAGAGGGCCGCCACGCTCCCAAGCAGTGCACTGTAGCATGCGCCACCAGGCCAGCCCTTAAACACCACACTTTTACTACATACTCGTGCTCTGTCATCTCTTCCTTTCTCATCAGCTAACTGACACATCAGGTCAATTCCATCACTTCCAGTTATTAAAACTCAGCCTTGTTTAAAAATATTGTTTTTCTTTTTTAAAAAAATAAGCTCAGTCTGGCCCTTTCTTCCATAGATTTAATAACCCTCACTCCTTAAAAGTTCAGTGATAAATATATAAAAAAGCACCCTTTTCCTAAAGCAATTCTTAGTTAAAACTACTCAACATGAAATATCAGTCAAAAGCAAATCATAATTCTTCTGCTGCTGGTTTTTAGCAACATAAAAATGAATAACATTCTCTTCCAACAGCTAATATATGTCATATATGAAAACAATCAAAAGCTTTAACACCCCTAATGCATATGCTGTCCCTGTAGGCTATAACTATTATAACTAATGTTATAGTTTTTGCAACATGAGTTTTGCAACATGTAATTAGAATTAATCTTTACCTATTGATTTACAATTTTGTCAACATGAATGTAAACTAATCAAATATAATAAGATCATGAATTATAACCAAATGATACCTTTACAAGTTGTTCTAAAGAAAATACCTAAAAAATACCCCTTATGCACAATCTTTTCTTTTACCTAGCACAGAATCAAAATCTGGACAGAAAAAAATTTAAGCCCATAACTTAAAAAACAAAAACAATTTTTGCCTCTACCGCTCACATGTCACTTTAAAAATGAGCTCTACATATTGCTGGAAAAAGAAAAGCACCAATTGGACCACAGTTATAGTTATTCCATTTCGCAATTATGAATCTGTATCAAAACCATTGATGTCCATAGATAAAGCTGATAGATGCTAAAATGACATTTCATAAAATTTAACACCTGTTTCTGATTTTTTAAAAACTCAGAAAACTATAAATGGAAGAACAGTTCCTTAACACATTTTTTAAAATTTAAATCAACGATAATGGTTTTTCCATTAAATCATTAACAAAACAAGCATGCCTACTTTCATTGTTTCATTTTAACACTGCTCTACCATCTCTGGCTAACACAATAAGACATGAAGATGAAATAAGAGCAATAACTATTGGATAGAAAGATAGAAAAATAAAGTTGTTTGTGGAATTAGATACCTACACTCAAGAATATCAACTGAAAAATTCCCAAAATTGATAGAATTAAATATAATACAAAGGTTAATCACACTGGTTTGAATCACAGCTTTCCCACTTATGAGATGAAAAACCTTGGGAGATTACCCTACAAGTCTCAGATTCTACAGAAAGGGGATGATAATAATAATGATAATAATAATAATTTCACTGGTTTGTCATGAAGACTAAATGAAATAGTGTATTTAAGGCACTAAAATGCATGGCACATGGTAAACATTTAATAAATATCAGTAATAATAATTTCATTATTATTCAATAGTAGCACAATATAAGATACATATATATAAATCAAAAGTTTTACTAAATACTACCAATAATCAATGGTAGTAAGATATAGTTGGAAAAATATCCTATTTACCATAGCAACAACACATATAAAA